CATTTTCCCCAACCCTGTGCCCCTGCATGTATTAGAGCCAGGCCCCAATGGTCACAGTGCTTGTAAATGGTAGCATCCCTGCATGGCACACATGGCTAGGGACTTGACTGCTCCAGTTGGAGGTTTGGTCTGGGTTTACATAAGTGTATGTATGTGTCTATGCATCTGTGTGGTTTTATGCACACGTTTCCGTAAGCACAGAGGGGGCACAGTGATGGATACTTCTTAGACACAGCCAAATGCCTCTGGGTTTGAAGGATTAGGATTATAGTCCATGGAGCATCTCAGATGATGGGAATAATGTATTTCACAAAGTTATGCTCTACCTCCTAGTTCAGTGAGTTGTATCTGGGCTCTTCAAAGCTGTGAACATTGAAGCTATCACCCTACCTCCCCCTTTGTACCTGGGGAAACTGAGACCCAGAGAGGGGAGGGGCTTAGTTAAGGCACACAGCAGGTTCAGGACAGACCCAGTCCTGGGAGGGGGGTTCCAGGGCTGAGAAGCTTGTGTCTAGTAGCAGGGCCTGCTTCCTGGGTGAACCTGGGCTTGTTAGCACCTCACCAAAATCCTTTCGCACACATTTGTGGGGGGAGGTCAGATACTTGCTGCCAGACTGCTGTCTCATCCCACCATGGGGGTGGGGTGGGGGGTGGGCCTGCTCCCTGCCTCTGGAGACAATGGACAGGCTCCTGTAGGCAGAGTTTGCACCCTACTGATAATGTTCCTATGGAGACCCAGAGACCACCCCCTAGACCACCCTCTCATTGCTGTGTAACCTATAGTGTAACCCCTCCCTGTGACGTATGTCTCTACCTGTAATTAGTGGGCTGGCATGCCCCTAAAAGTTATATAGGCACGAGTCAGCAATATAGAGCTCTCTGACTCTGAGCTCCTTGCTGCTCATTCCCTGGTTACTCCCCTCTCCCTTGTTCCCTTACCCTCCTTCCCTTCCCCGTCTCTCCACGTGGACCACCAAGCTGGGCTGAGGTGAGCGATGGTATCATGTAATGTGTCTGACTGTATTATTGTAATATCTCTCATGCTCTTGATGACTCTAATATAATACTTATGTATCTCAGCCGTACAATTGTGCATTACTGAACCCAGAAGTAGTATTACTGAATCCGAGTAGTAGTAATAAGTAGTATCAGCGGGTGGGGGCTGGCCCTTCACCCCCCAGCGTCAATTTTTAAAATTTAATACTACACACATTGTTGCCTCGGCAGCAGTATCGGCATCCCGGTGGAGGACTGGGTAAACTGAGGCCCCTATGGGATTTGCCCAAGGACCCATCCCAGATTCATGGCCAAGCTGGAATCTGAGCCAGTTCTGAGCCAAGACCGTGTGCTCTTTGCTGCGAATCAGTATTTCCCGTGCCGATATCTCCGGAGGTACTGGGGAAGTGTTAATGAGGATCCCGAAGAATGTAAAGTGCGTGTGTGGGTGTGCATGAACACGTGTGTACAGAGGCGAACTGCCCGTGCTCAGCCATTCCACACCTGACTGCCAGGTGGACAGCATCTTCACCTCGCTAGGGTCCTAGGGGCTGAAAGGCTGTGGGAAGAAGAAGAAGGGGCCAAATAGAGATGGGAGGGGCTTCATGCAAAGAGGGATCTGGGGGCAAACCTGGCCCCCCCCCCCCAAGGTGCAATGCTGGCCTAGTGTGTGAGGGAGAGGGACAGGGGGAAAAAGAGGCAACAGACAGTTGTCATGGTGAACCCTTCCCCCTCCTCCCAGGGACTTCTGTGGGCTGAGACCATAGTCCTTAGGCCAGACTGCCTGTCCACTCCTACTGACTGCCTCCCTGCACTCAGGGGGCTTGGGGTCGAGAGGGGCCTGTGCCTAGAGAGGCCCCATCTTCTCTTCTCTGCTCCCCAGCCGTGTCTCTGTGCATCTTTCCAAAAAGTGCCAGCAATTCTGATCAATGGTTGCTTTCTTCCCCACAGTTACGTGAGATCAATACAAAATAACAACAAAACAAACAACCACAGCTTCATTTTTGTGGTCATCCTGTCTCAAGCCTCATGGCTGTACCATCCTGGGTTAATTACGATGGCTCTGTGCTAGGTTTTCTAATGCCCCAAACCAAACTCACTGGCATTGAGTCAGTGCCAATGCACAGTGACTCTGTACGCAGAGCAGAGCGGCCCCTGTGGGTTTCTGAGACTCTAACTCTTCATGGAAGGAGGAGGCCTCCTCTTTCTCCTGAGGAGCAGCGGGTGGTTTTGAACTGCTGTCCTCGAGGCTAGCTCCATGAGTAACCACCTCGCCACCAGGGCAGATCCCTGTATGTGATCCAAAGATTGTACTATTATAACTCAAATCTGAAGGAGGGAATGGTACCAGGGCTTAAATTGTGCTATTCTGGTGTGCAGAAGGCTATGGATGACGGTGGGAGCCCAAAATGCATTTGCAGATTCTGCACATGGAATCAGCCTCTGGTGATTTCCCTCTGACCTTAATTGAGGGATGGGAATGACCTGGTGATCAGACAAAGAGTATTGTAAAGATATTATAGTATATTAAAATGAAAAATCTGAAAGAAGGAGGAGGAGAAGGAGGAAGAGCAGAGGAGGAAGAAGAGGAGGAGGAGGAAGAGAAGAAGAAGAAGAAGTAGTTGCTCCTTGGGCCAGCTACTGGCCTCTGCATCTTCTGGCCCCTCAGCCTGAGACTTTCTTCAACCTAATTATGTTGTATTTCAAGAACGCCTTCCTTGACTAAGCCAGTATGTCAAAACCGTCCAGTTAATTCTGACTCATAATGACTCTACCTAGGGTTTTCAAGACTATAAATCTTTAAGAGAGCAGACAGCCTCATTTTCCCCCCTTGGAGTGGCTGGTGGGTTTGAACAGTTGACTTTGTGGCTGGCAGCCCAGTGCCTAACCCACAGTGCCCTCAGGGCGCCTTAGTAGATGCTCAATAAATTGGTGAAGGAAGAACCAGAAGACCAAACCCAACCCACGGCCATGGAGACAATGCAGAGCAGCTAGTGGCTCTGAACTTGAGGACAGCAGCCCAGCTCATAGCCACTGCACCACCAGGGCTCTGAAGTTGAAGAAAGAGAGGGTCTCATTTGAGTCTCAGAAAGCCTGTGAAGCAAGCGGGGCTGGGCTGCTCACTCTCATTTTACAAACGAGGAGAGAGGGATCAGTCCAGGTCTGATTTGTGGACAAGCCAGGCTTAACACCCATCCCTATCTGACTCCCATCCAGGACACACCTTACCCACTCCTTAGATTAGAGTCAAGGGTGGCCTGTTCCTGCCCACCTGTGCCTAGAACACAGTGCAGGAGGGCAAGGAGGTCATTGAGGAAAGGATTAAGTTTCGGGCCTCAGTTGACCATCACTTCTTCACAGAGGCCTTCCTTTACCACTACGCCCGAGTTGGACCCTGTGTAATTCTGATTCCTTTGCAGTATTTAGATTAGTTTTAGTTTGGTTTCTGCCGGCCTCTCTCTGGCCTGTGAAGCTCTGTGAGTAAGGGCTGTGGGCATGTGTTTTGCTCACTGCTCGGTCCCCATCACCAGGCTAGGTCTTCGCCCAGCCAAGTCATTGATACACACCTGCCAGGTGAGTGAATCAGTGGGTGAGTGAGTGAGTGAACACGCATCAGAGTCTCACGACTCCCTTGTGAACCTGAGTCCAGTCTCCACATTTTGCAGGTAAGAAACGGGGAGCTTGGAGAGGCCACACAGGTAGAGCAAGAATGACTCAGGTGTTGAAGACCTTTCGACTTCCTTGCCCCTGGGACACAGCAGAACCTGAGCTGTACCTCTCACTTTAGACAAAGGCAAGAAAACCGAATCCATATTGCAGGCTCTGAAAGGCTGATGCATCAAAGGATGCTGCAGTTGCCAAGGTAACCTAGTTTGCCTCCCAAAGCAGGTTTTATTGGTGGGGATGAAGACCTACACAGATACTGACGGGAGAAAAACCAGGGAGAAGGGGGCATACCTCCCAGCCAGCCTGTTGCTGACCACTCCTTTCGAAAGGCTTCCCTTCCACCTTACTTGTGGCTGCCCATCTACGGGGTATGCAAGCAAACCCCCTCCCCTGGTGTGAAAATTGCCCTTGCTGGGAATGCCATGTTTCTCTGTGATGTTCTCTGTGAAGGTCTCAGGAACAATGCTTCTGCTTATCTGGCTCCAGGGTGTGTGTGTGTGTTTGTGTGTGTGTGTGTGTAACAATGCTTCTGCTTATCTGGCTCCAGTGTGTGTGTGTGTGTGTGATGTTTCTCTGTGAAGGTCTCAGGAACAATGCTTCTGCTTATCTGGCTCCAGGGTGTGTGTGTGTGTGTATGTGTGTGTGTGTGTGTGTGTGTGTGTGTGTGTGTGTGTGTTTGTGTGACAAACTGGTCTTCAGAGACCTGCGTGCTCCTACAGACCTGGGCATCGGGAAGCGTGAGCACTGGGCCTTCATTTCTGTGGCAGATGTCAAGAGGCCCTGGGAGAGCTTGGGAGGAGTGAGGCAGCTCAGAAATGCAAGATGCCCGTGCCACCTCGGACAAGACCTCCACTCTAAGCCCCATGGCATCACCTCTGCCTGGGGAGTTAGTCTGATGTTGAGAGAGGTTCACTAGTCTGCCCAGGCATCCGGCACTGCTGGTATCCAGAAGCCAGTTCCTGAGAGCTGTGGTCCCTAGGGGGTAAGGGCACAACACCACACCCGCCAAACTCCCACCACACCGGCTCTGGTCCCTGCTGTCACCCAGCCCTTTCTCTGTAGCGGCAGAGAGTTGACATCAGACATCACTGTCAGAAGGACTTCTGACTTGGGGTTCCCCCTGGTGACAGGAGAGGGGAAGTCCTTCCAAGGACACCGGCAGCCCTGAGGGCAGATCCAGGCCCAGCAGGACCCATTTTCAGATCCTCACGTTTGGGGAAAGAGGCCAACGCGAGCCCCTCTGTGGAAAGTGGCCCACTCGAGCCTCTCGCCCCTCGGTGGGCAGTTGAGAGACACACCACTCCTTGAAAGGCTCGGACAAGTCCCACAGCTAAGAATGCTTCTTCACTTGGCTTTAATGGGCTATTTTTCTCTCTCACATGACCATAGATCTTGTTTGGACATGGGGACGGGGTTTAGCGTGATGCTCTTGTCACCCCTGTGGGACACTCAGGGCTGCTGGAAGCCCCTACCCCCACCCCGTCCACCTGTCCAAGACCAGGTCTGAGCTCTAGATGTTGGGCCCTGGGACAGTGTGGGGCTGGGGGAGGGGGGAAGCCTTATGTTCGTGGGGGAGGGGTGGTAGTGAGTGCATGACGCCCCTCCAGCCTTGAGCAGGAAGTCCAAGGGCATCTTAAAGCCAGGAGAGTTCACTGCAGGCTCGAAGGACTCCCCGGCGACTCTAGAGACAGAATCTGGCAGCTTCTTGCCTGCCCGACAGACCCCCGCCAATAATCATGCATCTGTCGGAGGAGCGGCGGCCAGTCTGTTCTGAGCTCATCCCAAGTGTGTGGTCCTCACTCCGCCCGCGGGCGACAGGAGGTACAGGAGGTATGGGCGCATGGCACCAGAGGGGTAGGGACCCGCAGACTCCTCGGAGAGGCTGGTAGGTGCCTCCTCCGGCCTTCTGGGCAAGAAGGGCTGGCTCAGGAGGTCCCAGGAGCCCAGGACAAGGCCCTGGCGCTGCGTCTTGGATCTGGGTCCAGGCCCGGCTGCTGGCTTAGACGCCCAAGGGCCGCACCATCATGCGCGTGGCTCGCAGCGAGTAGCTGGGGCCCCGGAAGTAGTGCCAGCGGATCCCGTTGAGCTTGCGCACGTTGTGGCGGGCCGGGTAGTAGATGCCATTGAGGTTGGAGAGGCCGCAGGCGTCAAACCACCAGCCTGGGGGGAGGAGAAGGAAAGGGGCATGAGGGGGCATGGGGGGTGGTGGTGGCAGCCAATCCCTCCAGCTCAGAGCTCCCGGGGGCAGTTACCTCTCTTCTGAGTGGGCTGAGCAAGGGCTGGAGTGGGAGCAGATGGTGGGGGCAGGAGAGGGCTGGGCTCCAGCTGCCCTTCCAGTGCCCTCTGCCCCTCCTCACCTTCTCTCCACCCTTACCCCCTCCCCCAATTCCCCTCCCTCCCCTGCTCCCTAGGCAGTCTTTGCACACTCTCCCCATTGGCTTCTGATGGTCTCTGTGGGTCTGTCTCTCCCACACTGGGTTAATCCCACTCTAGTAGCTCCTGTGCTTGTACCCGTTTCTCTCTCTCTGGAACGGCCCTGTCTCTCCCGCTGTGCCGTGGGTCTCTGTTGGCCTGCCTCCTGGTCTGCCTTGCCTTCTCCCCTGGACCTCTGTCCTCTGACCCCATGCAGTGCCCAGTCTCCTCCCGGTGGCTTGGCGTGGTCCTGCTCTTCACCGGTCCCTGCGTCTCCTCCCTCTCTTCTACACTTGCTCTCTGCCCCTCATCTGCCACTCCCGGAACTCTGCCCCCATCTCACCCCCAAACACTGTCTAGACCAGAGTTGGTGGGGGGCTGCCCTCCTCCATCCTGGCCCATGGAGTCAGGGGAATCTCCAGCCTGGAGCCCATCAGGCACTGTGCCTCCCTGGGGTGACCGCTGAGGCCCCCACTCCCCGTGTTCCTGGAGACTGGTCTCCGAGAGAAACCAGGGTACCTGCGTGAGGGGGAGGTGAGAGCTCAGAGGGGTCCTCAAGGACCTAGTGGGCGGTAGAGGTGAGCCTGCACCCGCCTCGCGATGGCACAGGGGTCTGGGAGAGGATGGAGGCCCCCTCCACCCCCGGGCAAGCCTGTGGGTGGACCGGGCTCCCCTTCACTCACCCCCAGACAGCATCTGGGCACACTTGCACAGGCAGTTGTCATTGTCAGAGTCTCGGGTGCTGAAGTTGGTGCCCTGCAGGACCAGGCTGCTCTGGCGCCCTGCGGAGCCGCTGTACCCGTTCAGGGAAAGCCTGGGACCACCGAGGGGGGCCATGGGAGAGAGGGCAGTCAGGTTGGGGCCCTGCCTGGGTGCTGACGACAGGCCCTCACCTGGACGCTTTCTCTTAGTCCGCCCGCAGCACCCCTTGTCCTTGGAGGGTCGCCCTTCCTGCCCCACCCCCCCAGTGCCGCCCGGGAATACAGCACCTCCTGTGTGCCAGCCCTCCCTTCCCACCCATCTCCCCATCTCCTTCTTGGAGACCGCAGTGCTGGCATTTGTCTGCGTGTGCCAGGTCTGAGCCCTCTGAGCACTTTTGTCTTTGTATTGAATCCTCTCTCTGGGGTCCCAGTGAGTGGAGTCCAATCCCCAGATGGGATCTCTGAACTCTGGCTTCTTCACCTGCTCACGTGGTCCTCTTGGGAATAGCGGGTACCTGGCTTGCTCACTGTGACCGGTGGCTTCACGGGGAGCAGTGTGCCCGCACATGCCGAGTGCTCAGCATGTTCCAGCGCATGGCATTAGGCACACTGCTGGCAAGGCTTCTGTTGAGCTGAGTGGGCAGAGGGGTGGGAGTGTGTGGGAACAGGTGGGCTGTTCCGGCAGGCGAGGTGGGAGCCGTTTTAGGAGCTGTTAGGAGGTTCCTGGTCGGGGTGGGATGGAGGCCAGCTGTGGCCAGGGCAGCTCTGGGAAGTGTGGTTTTTGGCTCAGCACCTTGGACATGGGATCCAGAAGCCATCAGGGGCCTGGAGCAGTCCCCACCCCCCACCCATGGGCTGGTCTGTGGAGGGCCAGGGCACGGCTTTGGGGGCCAGAGCCCTGCCGGTGCCCTTTGATGTGGCCCCTGTAGTCAGAGACACCTGGTGCTGCAGACCCCCTCCTCAAAGGGGTGCACCTTGCCAGGACTCACCCACCCACTCAAGTGGCCCAGCTTCTTTCTCCTTGAGGGCTCAGCTGTTCAAGGCAGCTCAAGCTGAGGTTTGAGGTCATGGTTGATTTAGGGTTCGTGGAGTCAGTTTGACCTGGCAGGGTCACTCCGGCAGCACTGGGCTCTCTGTGGCCCCCAAGTCCTCTCCTCTCCTTTCTGGGAGCCCAAATGGGAACTTGTGGCTCCTGGGAAGCCTCAGTTCATGAGCCAGGAGACCACCACTCAACTCATTGTCAGATGCGCTTTTGATGTTTTCTGGGCAAGGTCTGAGGACCCTCCAGCCCATGGGTCTCCTGGGGACCCGGAGTCAGACATATAGGTAGGTTTCCCATGTGTTTGTGGATCTGCAGTTTTCCTGAGGTCCAAATATTTGGACAAGACCCCTTGGGCCTGAGAGTGCACGGGTGTGGCAGGGTCTCGAGTCTGCCCTGGAGTACATGCTGGGGGTCCCAGGGTGCACGCCGTGTCTGCCTGGGATTGTATGTGCTATCATTGTTCTCCGTGGCAGGCTTGCACCAGCACTTGGGTGTGTCTGGTGTGGTATATGCTGGTTTGTGCAGTGGTACACTTGTGTGTCCATGGGCCCTGGGGCCTGTGTAGCCTGTGCACTGACCCTGGGGGTCTGGGCACCCCTATAGGTGCAGGCATGCCTGCGTGTGTCTCATTGTGTCTGTGGGTGGCACCCTGGAAGACATGCCCATGGTGTCCGTGTGTGTCCATGTTGACATCTGTGCTTCCCTCCACCCTGCCCGTCTGCATGGACACATGGGGGAACCCCTTCACCCTGACCTCCAGCTGACTGCCCACATTGCCCACCTCTGGGCTTCCCGAGGGGATCCTCTCCAGCTCCCCATGGTGCACCCTGTGGGGTGGGGCTGAATCAGGCTCTCTTCTGGCAGTGTCCAGGTGCCCCAGCTCCGTTCTGAGGTCTCTGTGGCCCCACTGGCTATGAATTCTCCCTGTCCCGTTTTTACCAGGTCCCTTCTGACTGTACTTCCCTTCCTAGCATCTTTGCTTAGAGAATGCCCATTGATTGCAGGCATCCTCTTCCAGGGAGCCCCCCTGATTGAATACTTGTCTCTTCTGGCTCTGGTACCTCCTGCATCACAGGATGGGGGGAGGGCGGTGGAACTGGGGATGCTTTGTGAGCATGCCCATCCCCAGACACACACCACACTGGACGATGGGCCATTTAGGGGAGGGGAGGGAATCCCAAGCCTGACTTTTCCCCAGTGGTTCCCAGCTTTATCCTATGCTCCTGCCACCCCTACCCTGGCACTGGGTGAATGCTCAGTCAGCCCTTATCAGGACCCAGGCCTCTGCTGAGGGTCTTGTGAGGCCTGGCCTGGGAGTCTGGAGCTGTGGACAGGGATGTACGTCCCCACAGTTCAGGAAGGAAGTCAGAGAGCACAATGGATTTCTGCAGGACATGATAGAAACAGGTTCCAGAGGTAACACGGTTCTACATGTGCGTGTGTGTTGGGGGGAGGGGCGAGGGCTGGTGGGGATGGCGCTCAAAAAGTTGGTGGGAAAATGGAATTAAGAGGTCATTGAGTTTTCCCATGAGCTTTTCGAAGCCCCCTTGTACAGAGAGCCCCAGTGATGCTGTGGCTAAGTGCTTGGCAGAGAATTTAAAGGCGGTTGGGTCAAACTCGGCCGCCTCTGAGGGACATGGGACATAATCGGCTCCCATCAAGATGACGGCCTCTCACGCCCCATGGGGTGGTTCTACGCTGTCTTACAGGGTTGCTCTGAGCTTATCCTTTGGCTGTGGGTTTATTTTGGGGGAGGGTCCATGTCTGCTTGATGGACGTCAAGGACACAGAAGCGTGCAGAAATATAGTTGCCTTTGAATATATTGTTGGCGTGGCTCCAGAATTTATCTTTCACTCAGTTCTGTGCTATCCCGATAATAACCCAGCCACCGTGTTTTACAGCGAGGGGAACCGTGCCACCCAGAGGTTAGGGAACTCGTCTAAGGTCACAACGCCAGCGAATGGTGGCCTGGGGACTGCGGTGCAGGCGGTTGACCCAGGAACCCGTGTTCTTCAGTTCGAGAGACTTTCTTTTTGCTTAAGGAAAAGCTGCAGACCCTGGAGTTGGGGCCCTGGAAATTGCTGCCCAAAAACTGCACTCCCATGTGTTTACCGTGTACCATGGAAATAACAGGGACCAAGACGGGCCTGGTTCTTACTGACCGCTAGGGGCATCGTGGCTTCCTTAAGGGACGGCAAATATAGTGTTCTTTGTGGAGGGTCTACTATGCGGCATCTCTTTCGCATTTATGTACACTAGCTCACTCAGGTGAGGATATTTACTGCTGAATAAGATGGGCACATCTAGGACACCCATCTTACAGATGAGAAGGGGAAGAGACGTGTTCAGGGTCACTGTGGCAGTTACATCATCTGGTGTCAACTTGAGACAATGAAGAATGAAGGGGTGGAGTTTATCCTGACATTCGGGTGGCAGCTTGATGACCTCGTTTGGAGGTGCTATGGAGATACATCGCTCACTAGAGGCCAGACCCAGACTCTGCTTTGTCTTCCTGCTGACAAGACACACGGAGCTACACTGATGGAGCCAGAGCCCTGGAGCTGAGGAGCCACGTGGAGACCCACGCCAGCACTGAGATGCTTCTACCACCACTGGGTCCATAAGACTTTCCACCTACTTGGCCTGTGATCTTCCTGCATTCAGCATCATTGCATGGCTGTGTGAGTCTAAAGAGGAATTTTTGGACTAGGATCAACATTTGGTGTAATATCGGACTTATGGACTTGATCTGGACTGGGCTGGGATGTTTTCTTAATGTTCAATTACTCTTTGATATAAAGTTCTCTCTTACACACACGTCAGTCTTCCTAGATTTGTTTCTCTAGTCTCCCAGACAAACACAGTCACTCAGGGAGATAGGAACAGAGCAAGGAATTAAAGCTGGGATTTGGTGGCCATTGGCTTATTGGTTGGCTGAGTGTTTACTCATTGGCTGGCTGTGGGAAGATAATCTGGGTCAACCCTTATGTTAGGCTCAGCTTGGCCTTGCATGGTAAGGATGACATCATAGATTAGGGAGAGTCCTATCAGAAGGTGGGTCAGAACCCAGGGCATTTAATAAAGGAAGGGGTTGGGGGCACATCACTGAGAAGTCCCCAGAAATGTAATTAGGCCTACAGTGCGGAGGACAGAGAGTCCCCTGGAGATTCCAGGGGCGTCCAGCAGGGTAGGGTGATGTAGCATCATAGGAAGACCCAGGTGGCATGGTCCCTGGAGTATGAGTCTGTGACTCCAGCTCTGCCTGGGGCCAGGCCCAGGCTCACCTTCAAGAGACTTGGGTTTCTCAGAGAAGCAACATCAGGTCGTGGAAGGGCCATGGGTTTTGGTGGCAGGGAGACCCAAGCTCTAATCCAGCCTCTACCTAATTGGTGAGGAGGATTTAAGCTCTGGAGCCTCAGTTTCCACATGATTAAAGTCGACCTTGGGAGAATGAAATAGTGTATGTACCTAAAACATAGTATCCACTGCCATCGAGTCAATTCCAATCACAGTGACCCTAGAGGACAGGGCGGACTTGACCCTGCGGATTTCTAAGACTGTAACTCTTTGTGAGAGTGGAAAGCCTCCTCATTCTCCTGCAGACCAGCTGGCAGTTTTGCTCTGCCAACCTTGCGGTTAGTAGCCCAATGCCTAACCCCTACACCATCAGGGAAGAAGTGTACAGTAACTCCTCATTTCTCTTCCTAAACACACCTTCCTGAGAAGAGGTTGGAAAATCTTGATTTTTACAACATCCCCACTTTTAAGCCCAGCCTGCTGTTGAAGATGAGAAGCTGGAGGCAGGGAAGCTAGCACCTTGGCTTGCCCAAGGTCACAAAGCGAGCGAGGTAGAGCCAGGATGGGCCCGGGGTCTCCCGACTTCCAGCCTAAGGAATGTTTCACTTCCTTTCAGGTAGGGCATAGATCAGGCTGACCCAGTCACCCCTCCTTCTGGGCATCCATCTGTAGGATGGCTGCCTCAGGGTGACTGACCTTGGAAGGCCCATTCCTGCTGCCCAGGATGGCGGTGGTGTCAGCGGCATTCTCTCGACCCCACCCAGTGGCCAGGACTTACTGAGTGCTAAGCAGCCGCCTCCAAATCCCGTGACGTGCGCCCAAATGGGGGACAGATGGTAGGAATGGGAGACGCCCAGGGACTGACCTTTGGTGCAGACTGTGTAGCTGCTAGCTCTGGAATGCCAGCCTGCCCGCCAACCCACCAGGCAGCCCGCCCGCCCGCCCATGGCCTCCTCCTGCCCTGGGCCCCCAGCCCACCTGTACAGCTGGCCCTCGCTGCCCAGCTGAAAATGCTCGTACTGGGCGTAGGCCTCATTGCCTTCCCAGTCTCGCAGCTCCACGCGCAGAGAGTAGTTCGCCCTGCTGGTGAGCTGGTGCACTAGCTCGTTGCCCAGCCAGTGTTCCCCAGCGGGGTCGCCGAAGCCCTGCAAGGAGTGGGGAGGGGGCGAGGAGGGCTGATGTCTGGTGAGGGAAGCAGGCTACACCCCAGGCTGTGGAGCTGGGCTGCACCATGCTTTGGGACCATTTGTCCCAAACCTCACTGCCTAATGATCCAGTTCATAAGTACAGTGTGGGCAGGCCTGGAGGTGGGGGTGGGGGGTTTCCCCGAATTGTAGAGGAAAAGACTAAGGCTTTTGTCAATGCAGAGACCTGTTAAAAATAATTGAAATCACATTTCTGTAAAGTTCAAGAACAGACAAAGCTCATCCATGGTGCTAGCAGTCAGCACAGTGATTATCTTTAAGGGGGTGTTGACTGAGAGGGGACCAAGCCCCCCACCCCCAGCATACTGCCAGTGCTGCGTGGCCACCCGTAGGCAGAAGGCACACGGGGAGCACGTAGATGGAAATCACACCTGGAAGTTGTGCTTTGAACTTTATGTATGTAAACCTCAGGATGGACAAAGACAAAAATCAGCTATGTAAGCAGTAGTGAAGACTTTTTGGTCCAGCGTCAGGGCATTAAATAGTTCAGCAACCAAAAAACGTAAAGCAAAGAGGGCTGCGAGTATCCATCGGAGACACCAGTGCCCCAGGACAATGAAAAATCAAACAAACCACCCCCTCCAAATAAATAAACAAAATCACAACCATTGCTGTGAGTTGATTCAAAGTCACAGGGACCCTGCAGGACAGAGAACTGTCCCATAGGGCTTCCAAGACTGTCAATCTTTGCAGAAGCCGATGGCCACTATTTTTCCCCCAGAGAAGCTGGTGGGTTCGAACTACTGACCTTTCCATTGGCAGCTGAACACTAACCACTGTGGCCCCTGAGTTCTTAATGCCAAGCCAATGAAAAACCCAAAACCAAGCTCACTGCCATTGGGTGGACGCCGACTCATAGCGACCCTATAGGCCAGGGTAGAACTGCCCCTGTGGGTTTCTGAGATTGTGCCTCTTTACTGGAGTAGAAAGCCTTATCTTTCTTTCACGGAGCAGCTGGTAGCTTTGAACTGCTGACCTTTTGGTTTGCAGCCCCATGCATAACTACTCTGCCACTGGGGCTCCTGAGCTAAGACAGCTCTTCAGCACCAAGGACAGGGCACACCTAAACCCCACTCCCCATCTGGCTGTGTGCACCATGGATTAACCTATGGGTCAGCATTCAGCAGGCTTCTGTGTATTTGTGTCTGAGCACCCTGCTTCTTTTAATGACTGTTTTAAAAACCTAATTGGTTTAAGAACACGCACAGCTTAATTGAGTATTTATGACTTCCATATTTATCAAATAAACAGCATGCAATGCCCAAGGACGCTTGTGATTCTTTGCTGGCATGCCTTCCTCTTTCTTTTGCTCTGGAAAACTTAAGACTTTTCAGACAGCTTGCCACAAAAAAAAAAAAAAAAAAAAGACCCCTTCTCCAAACTGTTATTAAAAAAGAATTGGAAGACATCTGGGCACGTGGTGTGGGAGCCAGTGGATCCCTGTTAAAAACCTCTCTCCCAAAGATGTGGTCACACATGTGTACAAAGTCAGGGGCAGCCAGTTAAGCTGTGCGGCTGGGGCAATGTATCTGTATTCCCTTTTCAAAAAAATTGAAACAAAAACAAAGTTAAAATTTCCTTCTTAAAACCTATGTCAGCACTTTCAAAAAGGGGGTCCAGGTTTAGGCCGTGGAGGTGTGGTGGGCCAGTCGGCGATAGGTGGGCTGAGTCTTTCAGGGAGGGGATGAGGGGAAGCCAGTCTCATACCCACAATACAGCCCGGGGTTGAAAGGGGCATCCCTGGGGTGACAGCTTTACCTGTTTGTAGTCCTTCCAATTCCGCTGGAAGTTCACACTGCCATTCTCCCGGCGTTGGATGAGGGTCCACCCGCCTCCACTGGTCTCCATGTCACAGAACACCTGCAGAGGATAGGAGTGTGTGTGTGTGTGTGTGTGTGTGTGTGTGTGTGTGTGTGTGGTGGTGGTGGCAGCCAGCAGCCAGGTGTGGGCTGGCCAAGTTGACCCTACCATTGAAGCATCAGAGTAACAAGTGAGCCCAGTGGTTAATGGGCATCGGAAAGACCCAGGCTCAATCTCCCCATCCCTGGTCATCATTTTTCTAAAGAGCCTGGCTTTCCTGGTGGATTAAATTATGGGATTCGTACCTGCATCTCTTTGAGCCCTGGTTTCTCGCCTTCAGACTGGGGTTGTTGGGAGAATTAAATGAGGCCAGTCACGGAAGGTGTTTAGGACGGCCCATGGCACACACAAGTCAGTTAGGAAATGAATGCTTCCCGCTTGCTCTTAGCACAGGCTGCTGTCAGGATGAAAGGAGAGCTGGAAAGAGCTTCACCCACACGTAGACTCGGGAAATGCCCAGACCGCTGTCATTCTGAAGACAACTATTTCCCGAGCTCCTGCGGTGTGCCAGGCTCTGTTCAAGTACTAGGAGCATGGGTGAAATGAAGTTCTTCCCAAAAGCGTACCATTCACCACAAAGAATCTTCCAGTCTAACCGGTGTTCCCATCCTTGTATTTCTGGTCCAGTCAGCTCAGTTCATGCTCAGGGAGCCCAGGCTTGGGCCCGACTGGACTGGATGATGCAGAGGCAAAGCAATCCTGGGGACCCACTTGGTCTGGAGGGCATGGGGGGTGTGAAGGCCATGGTCGGACAGCAGACTATGGACCATGTACATCTGGGCAGTTACAGGGAGAATTCCCAAGAAGGTGTCCCTGGACAACCCCTGGAAGGCTCCCTGGAGGAGGTGGCATTGGAACAAGGCCTTGCATGAAGACGGGCCAACCCAGTAGAGATGAGTGGAATGGCATTTCCAGTGGGGACAACAGCAGGCGTGGAGGGTCTGAGAGGGAAAAAACCTGCTCTGGGAGAGAAAAGCCAAGTGACACCCGTGGAGGTGGTGTGTGTGTGGGGCTGGATGTAGGAGGGGAAACTGAGGCCCAGATGGAGAAAGGGTGGACTCCAAGCTCCAGAATGAAGCTGAAACTTGAGCCTAGCTCTCTTGTCTCTTCAGCAGCCTCTTGGTTTCTATCAGGGCCCTGCAATTTACTTTCATTCATATCTTTCTAAATCCTTACAATAGTGGAATCTCCTTAATATATATTTTTTTACTAAAAGATCATTTTATTGGGGGCTCTTACAGCTCTTATAACAATCCAAACACCAATTGTATCAAGCATATTTGTACACATGTTGCCATCATTATTTTCTAAATATTTACTTTCTATGGAGCCCTTGGTATCAGCTCCTCTTTTCCCCCTACTCCCCTCACCCTTGTGACCCCTTGATAAATTATAAGTTATTATTATTTTCATATCTTACACCAACCACTGTCTCCCTTCCCCCATGGTTTCTATTGCTCATCCCCCTGAGGTGATAGTAGTGGTGTGGTTGAGTGTTGATCATTGCGATTGGTTCCCCCTTCCTCCCCTCCCCTCTCCACTTCCCCCTACCTTCCTGGTATTGCTACTCACATCCCTGTTCCTGGATCCTATGTGGCGTGAGCTCTTATCTCTTATCTGTACCTGTGCACATGCTCCAGTCTAGCCGTCAGTGAAAGGCAGGCCTGGGAATTCCCTTAATTTCACATGGCACATTTACTTAAAAAAAAAGGATGACCTTTTTGGTTATTCCTTAAATAATCAAATAAAATATATCCTAAAAGGAAATTCTACCTTAAATGAGAAACCGAGTAGCAGTTGCCAGTATTTAGAGAAATGTAAAAATAAATAGAGTGAAATGCAAACAGTGCAATGCAATTGGAGCTAGAAACTGTTGCCAGCAGACAGCCCTAGGTTGGACCCCCTTGTTAAAGGGGAATTCAGCCGGTGTGTGGGGAGGGTTTGAGGGAGGCCAGCTACTCTCCTGATGTAATCAGGGGGGTGGGAACAAACTGGAAGGGGGCTTATGGTAAGGGGAAGACTAGGTAGTTGTTCCCCATACATTTTTGCTTCTGGGCCTGGACCCCCAAGAACTCCCTGATGACCCACCACAAACTGTTTCCCACCCTGGTCTCATAACTGGACTTTGAAGCTCAGGGCACCCTTGGGAGTGAGTCACTCAAAAGGGTGGTGCCGCTATCAGCCCTGCTCCCTAATTTCCCATAGGGAGCTGAACGCCCACTACTGTATGGGATGATGAGTATGTGGGAACTAGAAAGAGCCTTTCAGGGTCTATTTGTTACCTCTGCCAGCACCACCCTCACCGACACAGAACACATTTCACCGAAACATGAAGCGAAGGATGAACTTCCACCACTGGGACCCGCTGCTTAACCCCACGAGCTCACCCCTGCCTGCATGGGGACTCCAGAAAGCCGGGCCCCCTCCACCTTCTCTGGGACCTCAGGGAGGGGCAATGCCTACAGCCGATGGGGGTGGGAGTCTGTCTGGAGAGCCCTGGCCTCAGCACCCTCTCATGACCTCAGCACCCTCTCATGGCCTCAGCCCCCAGGCAGCCCCCTAACCTTCCTGGGCTCCATCACATTGGCCACGTGAATGGTGTAGACGCCACTGGCATTGGCCCCGAAGCGCTGGATCTCTGCACAGTCCTGGAACTCCAGATCCCCTGCCTTCATGGAGGCTGCCATGGGACAAAGCAAAGGGCAGTTGAGGATGGAGCAAAGGGTGAAGGCCAGGAGGGTGCCCCTGCCCACTCTGTGCCAGGGTCTAGGCTTGGAGGTAGTGGGGACAGGCGAGGAATCTGACCTGAGCAGGCTTCCTAGACTAGGTGGCCCTGGTGTGGGACCCGGGCCATGAGCAGGAGCTGGCCAGATGGAGAAGGGGTGGGTTTTCCAGGCAGAGGGCAGAGCAAGCATATGCAGAAGCTCTACGCTAGGGAAGTCCTGGTGCTTACTAGAGAGCAGGGCGCAGGGAGAGGACCTGAGGCTGAGGTCGGGGAGGGTTGCGGACGGATGTACACCGTGAGAGCAAGCAGAGGCCAGAGAGAACTCTGAATGTTTGATGAACCCAAAAGGGGTAGAGAGAGACTGGCACAGACAGGGAGAGGAGTGGGGGAGAAGAGGGACGAGGCCGGGAGCTTTCAAGAGGGGTCAGGCTCCAATGCCAAGGGTCATCTGTCTTGAGGAAGGTCACTCCGGCCAGAGTGTGGACTGGGCACCGGAGGAGATGAGACTCAAAGTGGGGCCAGCAAGGAGGAGGCTGCTAGAGCATCCTGGGGGAGGGCCATGGGGCCTGAATACTAGTGAATACATGCCCATTTCACAGATGAGGAAACCGAGGCTCCAGAGTGAGCTGACTAGCCCAATGGCAGGCAGTCAGGTGGGACAGGACCTTCTCTCTCTCTCCAGGTCTCATGGGAGACTGGGCCTTGGGGCTCCCTTAGTTGGGAGGTCTTGGTACTCCCCTCCTCAGCCTCCCTCCAGTTCTGGAAGTATGCCTCTCATTCCACCATTCCTGGAGCCAAACACATGGCGTCCTGGTGCCAGACTCCTGGTGTTCTGCACTGGCTTGTCAGGTCAGTGGTTTGAACCCACTAGCTGCTCTGCAAGAGAAAGAGGAGGCTTTCTGCGCTCAGAAAGACTGACCACCTCAGGAACCCACAGAGGCAGCTCTACATTATCCTGTTCGGTCACGATGAGTCAGGATCAACTCGATGGCATTGGGGTGGGAAGGGGGAGGGGCTGAACATAGGCCTCTAAGGGCCCATCCTCCTTCCTAGGTGAGATCAGAAGAGGGTTAATTTGAGGACTGACACCTCGGGGCCTCCAGACCTGGCCTGAGAAAATGACTCTGAACAAACCACAGGGCTTGAAAGTTCCCTCTGTGGCCTCATTATTGGGCCCTGACTAGAGCGTTGGGCTGGTTTCTCTCAGAATCCGATCTCTCTAGGCAGGTGTGCATCCAAGATGGGGCGAAAGAGCCAGATGGGCAGGCATCGCCACATTGAGGAGCTGGGAGGCTATCAGGGAGCAGCACTTCCTATTCTGACCTGGATCCTGGGTCTGAGAGTGGAGCAGGACCCCCCAGGAAGGAACCCGTGGTTCTCATATTAAGAATTCGCTTCCTGAGGCCCCAGCCCTATACAAACATTTCTCAAGGAGGGGTCTCCCCTAGCCCTTACTACCAGCTCCACACAGTTCATGAGAAACAGCTGTCCAGTCAAGCACGGGGCAGGGGCATGCTCTGAGGTGAGCAGGGGTGGGCGGGCCCGGGGCCACACAGCAGAGCAGGCAGGACCTTGGCCCAAGGCCCTCACCACCCTTCTAAGGCTCAGTCCACTGTTTTCCTCCTTTTCACACGGAAACTCACTGCCATGGAGCCCATTCCAACTCGAGGCAACGCCACAGGACAGAGTAGAGCTGCCTCTGTGGATTGCTGAGGCTGTAAATCTCCGCTGGAAAAGACACCCTCATCTTTCTCCCTGGCTGCAGCCGGTGGATTTGATGGGCACCACCGGGGCTCCTTAATAGATTTTCCATAAATTGGGAAGGGTGCTCATTTCCTGCTAAGCTTGAAGGGAGTTGGTTTCTGCACCCATCTCTGTCCACCCTGGTCCTGGGTCTCTCTCACTTTCTTCAGTTAGACAACGGGGAGAAGCAGACTCGCCAGTGTCCTCTGATGACAGCAAGGTACAAGGACAGGGCACTTGGGCAAAGCAGGGCCCAAGATGAGGTACCGGACACAGCTTCCCAGCCAGTCTGGTGAGCAGATAGATATATTCAGTTACAGCTGGAGACGGGGCTGGTGGTGAGCCTGTGGGGCGGGCGGAGTGCTGGGCCCTGGCCTGCTGCCTGGGGCTGAATGACAGACATCCACATGAGGGATTCATCTAGGCGTCCTCTCTGCCAGGGCTTTGCACAGGCTGGTATTGGGTTCGGGTCACTCTACTTTACCGTGGTGTGGTTTGGAAGACATTCATATTCAGATCAGTCCTGACTCCCTTGGTCTTCAAATTCCTACCCAGCAGGGCCGCAGGGACCCCTGTGGGGTCCTCACCCCAGACCTTAAAGCATTCCTGGCCTCCCCTCTGGAGATCCAGCAGCAGTAGGACCCCCCCCCCCCCCCCTTCCACAGTTCCTCTGTCTCACACAAGTCATCCCCACTTTGGTTCCAAATGGAACTTCCTAAACCCTAATCTCATCCTGTTCAAAGCCTCCCTCCCCTCCAAAGGCTCCCCATAGCCCTGCCATTAAAGTTAAAGTCCTCTCCTCTCCTAAGCACAGCCTTATATGCTTTCCCTGGTCTGGAAACCTCACTTAGTAGGCACTCAACAAACCTGCAATCCTCCACCTTCCTCCAAGATCCACAGACCCAAGACTATCTTTTGCAAGAAAGGGGAACTGTGGCAATCCTGTTACAACTGCACCCCAGCCCC